TGCAGGTATACATATATAGTGCAGGTATATGTACATGGTGCAGGTATACATATATAGTGCAGGTATATGTACATGGTGCAGGTGAGGGCCATGTGCATGTAGACTATATGGCCAAAAGTTTGAGGGACACCAGCTTGTCCAAAACCTCATTCTAAAACCAAGGGTATTAATATGAAGTTGGTCGACGTTTTGTTGCTATAATAGCATTTAATCATTGAGGAAAGCTTTCCACTAAATGTTGGGACATTGCTGGTGGGATACTCAGGTTGAGTGTTGGTGTTAGATTATCACATCCCTTTCTGTGAGTTTGTGTGGCCACATGACAGCTGAGCTGAAATCTGCTCCCAGACCTTTTGACCTTCACAGTCAGTTCCCTTGTGGCTGATCTGGGCAGCTCTAGCAGGGCAGAAATGCAAACTGACTCATTAGAAAGACAGCATTCTGTGAGGCTGCCAAGTGGAAAGTCACTAACCTCTTCTGTACAACCACCCATTCCACTGTCAGTGTTTGTTGCCAGAAATTACGTGACTGTGTGCTTAATTATAGATCTGTGTCAGCAATGGCCGTGGCTTAACTAGAAAATCCCTAATTGTAATGTCTGCATATTTTTGGTCATATAGTGGAGGTTTCCTTAAAAACCCAGACCTTCAGCTTACCTGGTCACCATCTCCTGGATTATTTATACAAAGTTTTGCTGCATCACTAGAGCACAAAATGGAATTAGCTCAACTACACAACAATAATATAAAAACATCTAAAAACCATACTGTACCACATTTAAATTCTGACTACTTATTTAGCTGAAGCGTAACATCCGAAGCTATAAATACAGAGAAGTCTGGACTGCCATTTACCACAGTTTTACTATACTCTGGGGTATTCACTGTAGAAGCACAGCCATGTTGCGGGTACTGGCCATGGTGTAATACTGTGTAATGCTCCTTATGGAAGTTCTCCTTTGCTAGTGACAAAATTCTGAAGATTTAGAATGAAGAGGCTTATGATGGAAGACCAGGTGGTGTTTCACAAAGCAGTAAGAGTTTAGGTAAGGAGCATTCCTTTTGGACAATCATGACTTTGAGCTTAAGTTAACCCAGCTAACTGAGAAATCTTACTTTGCAGAACACCCCACCCCCCAAGTGGATATGGACACAGATCATCTCATCAAGCCTATAAATCTTATCTCTATGCTGAAGTGTGAGTGGAACTTTATTAAAAAAGTGAGAAAACATACGTGGCCCTTAGCAAAAATACTAAATATAACTCAAAAAAATAAATATGAATACAGAAAACCAAACCCATCCATCCATTTTTGCAGACAACTAATCTGGTGCAGGGGCGTGGTGCAAACGAATGCATATCAGGGTTTATTAATAACCCCACTTGGTGCGCAGTCGTCTGTCCTCTTCAGAACACAGAACTTTTGCTCTAATATAGGGTTTTTTACATGAATTTGCAATGCAGATCCCCATATCTCGCCCAAGGACGTCTGCCCGCTCACAGGGCTCCTGTTAGAAACAGCGAAAGCCTTTCCAGCTACAAATTAGACCCTTCTCTGGGTGCAGTGCCATCCGGTCCCATGAGGCCTGGCTCTTTAGCTCTCGCCATTTAGACAATACCCAGAAAAAAGGCACCTATCGATTAATGCGCACCGAAGCGTCCTCTTCGTGCAGAGATCGGCGTTTCATAAAGCGAGGAGCCGTCACAGAGCATTACCTGGCCCTACTTGTTTACGGCTCCTCATAGCCGATGCCTTCATGCAAAGTAATTTAAGACTTACATTCATTACTGGGGCAGTGCAGTGCCATGCACTCTTGCCTCACACCTCTAAAACTTGGGTTCAAGTCTCTGCCTTGGCCCTGTGTGGGGAGGTTCAATGTTGTCCCTGTGTCGTTGTGGGGTTTCCCCTGTGTCGTTGTGGGGTTTCCCCTGTGTCGTTGTGGGGTTTCCCCATATACAGTACTGTGCTTCCCCCAAAGGTTAACTGGAGATTGCAAACTGCCCATGTGTGTATGTGTGAGTGTGCCCGCTGGTACCCTGGGTTACCCCCTGCCTTGTGCCCATAGCTTCTGAGATAGTCGTGGGGGGTCCAGAGCCTAATAGGACAAAGAGGACAAATGGATGGATATACAAGGGGGATGTTCTGACTAGAGAAATTCAGGTTAAGTATCTTGCTGGAAAGCACCACAATGTGGGTCCCTCCTGGGTTCCAAACTGGCAACATTCACACTAAACGACCAAACCTTTAACCACTGCACCTCCTACTGCTCAACCCTGGACACGAGGCCAATACACAACAGCTCCCACTTATATGAAAATCAGCAGGTTCATCAGTCCAAATCTCTTATAGGTCAAGCACAGGTGATGCGACTGAAGTGATTGGCCAGGTGAGACAGCCGCCTCGGATGCAGCAAGAGTGCAAAGTTTACAGATTTTGGCAAAGGACTGATATAATACACAGATTTTTACCCAGTTATTAGTGCATTGATTGGCCTGCATTGCCCATCATAAGGGACATATTACTGTCCTCTCATTTACATAGCTGATATTACTCAGTCAGGTAGCAATTTATTTACATTTATGCACCTTAAGAGTTGATAAGTGTCGAAAAGCCCTTTCACACCGTGTGCATGTGTATGGTTTTACACCAGTGTGAATTCTCTGGTGCCTCTTCAGAAGGGCAGAGTCCTTGAAGCTCTGTCCGCATTCGGCGCAGCAGACCGGCCGGAAGTCCGTGTGTACCTGCTGGTGTCTCTTCAGGTAGATGGCATGACAGAAACTCCTGCCACACTCCAGGCAGGTGTATGGTTTCTCCCCAGTATGGAGCTTCTCGTGCATCTTCAGGGCATTCAGGTGACTGAAGTCTCTCCCGCAGTGAGTGCACCGGTACGGCTTCTCTCCCGTGTGAGTGCGCTGGTGGATCCGCAGGTATCTGGCGGTTTTAAAAGTCTTCTCGCATTCGCCACATGGGAAAGGCCGCTCTCCGGAGTGGATTCTCTCGTGTTCCTTCAGGTTCCCCTGCAGACTGAAGCTTTTCCCGCACAGGGTACACATGAACGGCTTCTCTCCTGTGTGAGTCCTCTGGTGATCTTTGAGGCCCGCTCCACTAGTGAAACACTTGTCGCACTGAGTGCATTTGTACGGTCTCTCTCCCGTGTGAATCCGCTGATGCAGTGTCAGTGACAGCGAGTGGCAGAAAGCCTTACTGCACACGGAGCAGCAGAACGGCTTCTCTGTGTAATGTACTGCCCGGTGTTTCTGAAGATCATAAAAACTCTTTCCGCACTCTCCGCAGCGTGATTTCTTCCTTTTCACGGGGGCATCTTCCTCGTGACTCCGGAGATGCAGCTTCAGGTTAGATGGGTCGCTGCGGTTCTTTTGGGTTTGGGGACTGCGCCGCAGTCCTCTTTCCGCAAGTGCAGGCCACGCGTGGCCAAGCTCTTGCCGAACGTGGTTCTCTTTGTGCGCTTGAAGATGTGTCACGCATCTAAACAGCCTCTGGCACAAAGAGCAGCAGTAAGGGCCACTGTCCTTCTCGAAAACGGCCTGTTCAGGGGCTTCCGTTTTAATCTCATGGGATATCAGACCTGGCGTTTCCATTTTCAGCTGTGCAGAACTTACAGCCAGGTGATTTCAGACATCCGCACAAATACCGACACTCAGCACCTGACTCTGTTGCATCAGTTCTCTCACTCCAAAGTAAGATCTATCCTTTTCAGCTTGTCCTAGTCACAGTAAGCCCGGTCTTGCTTGATAGTGACGATCTTCACACTGATCCCTGGAAGGGGAGGGAAAAAAATTAACATATGTGCACAAAGTAGCTTAAAAGAGGAGAACACTGTAAAACACAAGCAGCAGCTGCTAACCAGCACGACTGGGTCACCACATGTTCATCAGGGGTGTCAGCCCTCTGACACCCCTGTGAAAGGTCATGTGATAGTATATCTAGCTAACTCAACTCAGAGGCTGACCAGCAGGAAGCAGAATGATTGATTAGTTAGTTTAGGGATCAATTCAATGGTAGTATCTTTGACAGACTCAACTCAATGGCCAGATAACAGTTTACCATAATCTAGTACAATGCAACCAATCTCCTAGTTTAAAAAAGTATAGAAATGCTGTGTTTCACTTCTACCAAATTTACCGTAGGTAGCAAGTTCAGATAACCAAGAAGTAATCAAAACATAAATTATTAGTTGTGTAGGAAAAATTAGCAAGTAATTTTAATGTCTCCACCCATGTGTGGGGAAATTAAATTTTAATCATTTTTTGATGATGATTATTAACTAACTGTTATGCAGAATGGTTGGTTCCTCCTAACTCAATTGCAGAATCCCCGGGAGTCTGTTAATGTGAGACTTACATGGGATTCACTAATTACCAGTATGGCTTAGTAACCTGGGTTAGAAGGCTCGTCCACAGAGCTGCATTACCAGGTAATGTAAACGTTTGGTAGCGATGCTCTTGTCATGGCCGTTTAGAGAGACAATCGCGATATTTTCAGACGAGCTTGAGGTTTCAGCTCGCACAGAGGCAGGGACTATTGCGAGCGCTCCATGAATGGAGGCTGAAGTTGTATGAAAGGCATACATTTATTCCTAACACTATACTGACATAAGACGGACATTACACTTAATATAAACAACAAACACAAAATAACAGAATAGAACAAAACAAAACAGAATGCAGTGTTTTCCCTATACCATTATATTATTTTAATTTTATTTTCTGTATAGCGCCAGATCACAACAGCAGTCATTTAAGGTTACCTTTCCTATAGAACATGTCTATACATTATCGTTTTATTAAACAAACTAAATAGCCTTATGTTATTTATCTTATTTACATAACAGCTTGTCGCGCGTTTACAATTCTCCTCTGCTCTATGTATCGCGCGTGGCGGGGTTCTGCCCCGATGCGTGCGCACAGACACGTGCGCGCACACACAAGTGAGCACACCCCCACCAGTGGACAGAGCGCGCGCATCGGAAAATATGTCGCGTCAACCACCCGGTCAGCAGTGTAAACTGTGAGAGGGACTTGTCACCCATGAACAGGGTAATAAATACGTTTCACAATGGGATTTTCTGCTTTAAACCATCACTATTTTAAGCTATCAGGTCACTAAAGCCTAACAGTTAATGTATTTGCAGGTCAAGACAAAGACCCGCAAGAGACTGCAAGGAGACCACCTTCCAGCCTGCATGCGGATCTCAATAAATGGGCCAGACGTTTCTGACGTCCCATATCAAATGTTCTTCCAGAAGTCCAGAAAGATACACTGCAGTGACAAAAACTGCACACTTTGAGGATAATTGTCATAAAAAGAAATGTTCTGATGTTTAGTTATTATATTGACTGCTTTCATTAAAAGAAACAAATCAACACCATGAATGAATCCTGTCGGTGTCCGTCTGCACCCCCCCGGAATGTACTATGAAAATGCAGTTACTAGATTTAAATGCATAACCTTAAGAGGGAAATACTGTTCTGCAAAGCAAGCACAGTTTCTGGAAACACAATCTTAAAATTATAAAGCAGATTAAACTGAACAGCTTCGGTTGTTAAAATGAATGTTAGTTGGTTTACTTGGAATGGTGGCACTCAGGAAGGCGCGGCGTTTGGAGCGGTTGTTAGCGTGGGGCCCCTTGGATTCTCTCTCCTTGTGCAGCTGTAAGGTGAAAGGCTTTGTCTTGGGGTTGCAGTTCTCTGTCGGGTAGCAGGCCGTCACCGGCAGGCTTCAGGACGGGCTTCTCTACTGGGCTTTGCGGTGTTCTGGTGGTTTCTTGGTGGTTTTCTGGAGGGCTTCGCCTGTGTGAATCTGAGGCGCCAGGTTTTATGGTCTAAAGTTCATGAATATGGATGACCAGGAACCTGACCCCTGAACCAATGGCTGGCCATCTAGTTGGCGGGCTTTCAGAGGGGTGTCTGTCGCAGTCCTTCTGGTATTTACGACTAGGCTGATGCCACTTTACCAATGATTTTCATTAAATGGGTGTAACTTTTGGTACATACAATTTCATGATGAGCACTGACCAGATTTGAATTCAGGAGCGATTTTCCATCAGTTTGACACCAAACATGCCATACCTCATACAATTTGGATTAATTACTTAACAATTTCTTACATTGTGTCTTACATGTTAATAACTCACGTCAGTATACAGTATAGGTGGTTAGTGTTGCACATAACCAGATGTTGCCACTTTGGGTGAGTTGCACAGACATTACATTACATTACATATTCACATCCAAACAGCACATGTTAACCCTAGACAGGCGTGGCCGTTAATTTGTTGGAAACCCAATTTCAATAAAACATCTGAAAACGACATATTATGGTCGGTGTGGCTAATTCCAATGATCTGCTCTCCCGGATTGATAATATCCACATAAATTCAGTCATTTAACATAGAGGACAAAGAAGTGCTAACAGACCACAAAGATCAGATAAGGGCTGAGAGAGGAATGCAAAAAAGGGGGGGGTTGTTAGACAAAGAAAGAAAAGCCCTCTGACAGGTAGGAGACACTATACATATAAGATACTTGGGCACATAATTTAACTTTCAGGATTCCTCTGGAATATCCAGATGGGAGCATATATGCAGGGGTAGCTATACATATATATTTATCCATATCTATATACAGTAAGGTTCAAGTGAGCAGGGTGATACTATATAGGTGATACTCTGTGAGACACGGTTATAACGGTGGCACACAAACACTAAGATTGTCTAAGGACACAAGCATAACCTATCTGGATATTGAGACTAGCAATAACAAATAAACACATATACAGAGTATACACAGGCCAAACTTAAAAGAGAACTTTCTTTAGGGCAGGGGTCTCAAACTCCAGTCCTGGGGGGCCGGAGCCCTACAAAGTTTTTGGTTCACCCTCAATTAACACACCTGATTCAACTCCTTGTGCTAATTACCATAGAGCTCATAAGCTAAATCATTTGTGGTGGAACAGGGAAAGAGCTGAGCTACACAGGGCTCTGGCCCCCCAGGACTGGAGTTTGAGACGCCTGCTTTAGGGTGTTGGGTGAGTCTGTGGTTTGTAAGGCGGGATGGAAAAGGGGGGGAGGGGGTGCCAAGTTGAGGAACCCCCGTCCTTGAGGCCCATTCTGCTGTCCGTAGGCCCCTAAATCTTTGGCCCATAAAAGTTGGAATGTTGGCCTCCCTTGTTGTGTGTGTGTGTGTGGGGGGGGTCACTAACCCCCCCTTTGTGCCTAAGCCAACGAGTACCTCTCATACCAGGCTGGGCCTTATCTCAGGCTTCCAAACCTCTGGCCATAAAACCTGGAATCGCAGCTCTGGCATATGCATGTGTGAGATCCTACAGCTGTGTAAAACAACATACATCTATCATCACTCATAACCACGGCACAGGGACCAACGTAACTACATTACACACATACTGTACAAGACATATTATACACATACATTACACACATACAAGACATATTATACACATACATTATACACATACAAGACATATTATACACATACATTATACACATACAAGAGTCAAAGTGATACATATCCCAGCACATGATGCACCGGGTGGTTGTGAGAGGTATCTGACTTCAGATGCTAAGTGCACAGCATTATGTGGGAGCTCTTATTATACAATCTTTTCTCAGTAAAGGCTACACATGGTGAGTATGAAATACAGAAATATTAAACACACTTACCATGTAGGGGTTCTGGATACAGAATGCCCCCCCTCCCCAGACTGTCCAGTAAATACCAGATCAAGCAATGGGTTTTCTTTGAAGACAGTGACACACCAATCTCTGACCAGATGCTATGGTTCATGTTTTACGTAGAGATATCGGTTTTAGGTTGTGATATCCTTGTCATCCCCTTCAGGGTATAGGGTACTGTTCAGTCATTGGACAGATAGGTTCTCGAGCCAATGGTCAATCACAATGTTAATGGTGCGAGCGTTAGGGCCTTTAGCTCACTGAGGGGGGCAGAGCCTTCCAACAAAGCAAGAATTCTCTAATTCTTAAGATCTTCATAATATTTTGATGTATTGTTTTAAGACTGAGATCATTATATCAGTCACACTGAGACCATTCAAATGAGACCAAGCATGAGTATGAACATTGATTACATGAACATCAGATAATGTTTTTCCCATTTTGGCTTTTTGTGTGGCCATTTCTGACCTGGAACATGGGGAGCAGGGAGGGAGGGGGGAGAGGGCAGGATAGGTTTATGATCGGTGAGCTTGAGAGGGTCTGTCTGTTGGTGGGCGTTATGCCACTGATAGGATGGTCTGACGGGCTTTGCTCAGCCTCGTCTGAGCAGAGTTGATGGTTTCCCCCTGGATGTAATGCAGTACAGGCCCAAAGTCGCCCAGAGTCACAGACACCCAGTTTACACCTGGCATTAACATGCATCCTGGGTGATCCGGTCACATGTTGACAGCACTAAACACGTCCGTTTACACCTGGCATTAACATGCGTCTCCACATGCGTCTCGACTGACCACTTGTAATTGGATCTCACTTCCCTGCCCTTCATTTAACTAAGCACCTAAATCACTTCCGTATGCAAAATCTGCCAAACATGAAAAGGAGAAGAAA